CACGCGGCCACGGTGGCTTCTGCATTGGCCCCACCATCTGCGAACAGTGCTAGATCTGTGTTAGGCAGAACCTGCTGTCTGTTATCCAGGTGTTGGCTGCGTAGATCATTGCTGGGGTCTTGCGGGTCCTCCCAGGCTGCCTCGGACCAGTTCTCAGTAACTGGCAAGTGATGAACTCCAAAGAGATCGCACTCAAGGGCCCAATCGGACCGGGAGCGCGCCAAGCTAGCGGCAGTAGCATCTGCACATTGTTGGGGTGAGGCCGGACAGTCCGCAGGCAGGTGAAGCCAATGTGCAGGATTTCCCCATTCAGTGTCTGCGATCCCGCTGTTGCGAAAGTGAATCAGACAGGACCGGATGGCATTAGCCAGCCGACCCACTCTGCAGTAGAGCAACATGCTGGTGTATTTGCGTTGTTCAAAAGGGCCTATTAGACCGGGAGGTCGGTGCCCCTGCAAGTCTGCGAGATGATCCAGGATCCTACAAACAGTGCGGTCCATACTCGCATTGACAAAGATACCATAGCCAGCTAGGTGTCGCAGCGCACGTACAATCATGTAGTCGCACTGCTCCGCTGCTTCCGGCTCCATAGACATGGCCTCCCTCAAAGCGTCCCGGGCTAATTGGCCAGCTGGGGACTGCGAGGACAGCAATCGCAGAACCTCTGCAGCTACCGACGCGAGTGATCCTTCCACCGCCGAGAACAATTGCAAGCCTCCAACGGACCGCGGGGCCAAGAGCCCCACACGTTCTGCCGATGAGCGTACATGAAGCGCCCGAAGGAGATGTTGTTGGACCGCAGAGTCATGTCTGTGTAGAGCTTGCGGACTGGGTGTCCCAACCAGGGGGGCATAGTTGAGGTACCCTGCTGCATATAGTTGAGCCCCCAAAATCAGCTCATCCCAGCTAAAGCGCCGCGCAGAAAATCCTTGCAGGAGCTTGTCCAATTTCAGCATAAGGTCTTCAGCGGCCGCCGAGTGTCGATCCAGATATGTGCCCCGTTTTCCCAAAAGGAGTTCTTCATCCGTGTCTTTAGCTCTCGGCAGGGTGGCTGTGAGTTCTTCGCCCGTCCAAATGTCGTATCCTGAGACTGGTATGCCTTCTGGAGTGAAGCCTGCCGCTTGTCCCTGAGGTGTAGCTGCCACGATGTCCCAGTCCGTGGCAAAGGCATGAAATTTGTCCCATGCAAACCCAATGCCCGTCAACAAGCTTCCTCTCGAGAGATCCTGCAGTAGCCTCGGCAGCTGACGGGCCCCCGAAGCATAATGCTCGGCATCATCCACATAGCCGGCCATGGGCACCCGCCGACCCGCTGACGAAATGTAGCAGGCAGGACTGCTTTCACGCAGACGTAATAGCGGATCCTGGGCCGGCTTGGAAAGCTCGGGTGAAGACACAGCTCCCTGAGGAACTCCCCGATGGCAGTGAACCGGGTCCGACGGGCCCCAACGTGTGTCCACTTGGATGGTGAGTCCTTGGAAGGCTGCCTGATAGAACTGGCGGATGGAGTCCGGTAGTCCGCGTGCCTGCTGCACCGCATCGACTTGGTGCAGGTTAACCGTGTTGAAAAACTTTTCAAAGTCCGCGGGAACCCTTGCCAGAGGGAGGTGATGAGCCAGAGAGTCCTCACACACCTGGACATCCAGATACAGGACATCTGATGCAGCAGACTGGCCGGGCTCATACGCACGGTTCCAGGCGCTGTAGACTGAGCCAGCAGGTAGGGACGCACGAGCTGAAACTAACCGATGAGTAACCGGGCCTTCAATGGCCTTGAAAGCTTCTTCCAGCATGGTCAGTGGCCGCCAGCCTCCTTTGGGTTTGGGCATGTTGACCTGCACAGCCGTCTTCAGCGACGGTGCTACTGAACCGATGGCACGCTGCGTGTCAAGAGAGAGCCAGAAGATGTCTTGAACCCAGCCGGGGTAAAAATGCAAATAGCACAATTTCCATCCGGAAGGTCCAGGTCTGGAGGACGACATTTTGGACAGCCACCGGAATCTTTCGTGCTCAGTAAGAGGATCCAGACAAGAGGGGGTTGTCTGAGCAGAAGGTCGGAGGAGAAGAAGGCAATGTGTATCTTGCTGCGGAATAGCGAGCCAATGCTGTAGGGTCCACCGGTGCAGGGGTTGCCCATTGACATGCACCACATACTGCACCGGACCTTCACAAGGCCCGAGAAACCTGCCCTCCCACAGTCCCCCAACACGCCGGAACCTCCATATCTGGATTCGAATCTCTTCTTCCATTAGGCATTGTACCTCATGGCCTTGGAAGACACACCGAGTCCACGGTCCAGGGCAGAGAAGAGCAGTGAGCGCGTCTACCGGTGCATGGACGTCGTGTGTGTTCGGGCTGCCGCGCAAGAGTCCCGCAGGGTCCGTCCAAACCCGCACTAGCTCATGCGACCAAGGTCGAGAAGGGCGATCAAAGAGCTTCTGCCATTCTTGTGCTGCAGCCTTGCGCATTTCTGAAGGGGTCTTGGGACGGCGACTGCCGCTGGCGGTTGTGAGTTGCTGAGGAGTGTAGGCCTGACGCTTATATGCTGGCATACGCCGACAACGGGCCCAACGTCTGAGATCACCAGAACGTAGCAGATGGACCCTTCGGTCGTGTCCTTCACGCGCATTGCATGCTGCAGTCTTGGCTCTCAGTGTTTGGGCCTCTTGTATCCAATCCTCTACCAGGAGGATTTTGTCTGCGGATTCTGTGGCTGAAGGCGCCCAGCGTAGGTTCCGTGCGACCGCCTCACCTGCGGATTGGCGCACTTCTGGGGGCTGTAGATGGGAAGCACCAGGCGCCGACAAGGAGGAGAGCCAACGATCGAGCTGA